ACATTCAGATGTCCCCCGACCGATTAAAGGCGAAAATCCCTCGACGAACATCTGAGTGTCGCAAAAGGGATTCCAGTTCCACTTGTGTTAGCCTTTGTCCTGGCTGATCTCCTCGAACGGACTCTTCCGTTTGGAGTTTGTTACGCCCTCGACGGTCGCCGGCGCCGCAGGCTCCCTCAGGAACTATTTTAAGCACGGGGCGGGGCTCACCTGATAAAAGGCGACTTTGGCTCAATGTCTTCTCCTAACGGACATCCGTGCTTGCAACGATGGAGGCTACAGCTACACTTCCACTGCAGGAGATAATTGTCAACTGGATTTTTGTTTGAATACTATCTTATTTCTGTTGACTTTTGAAAGTAGATACATCTTCTTGAATGATTCCTATTATTCACAGATCTATCGACTTCTCGCTCTCTGTATCCCTTTGAACTGTGCAGTTGTGCCGATATAAGATACGATTTCTGGCATTCATCAGCCCCGCTTTTGCATGGGCCGTTCTAACCTCTCCGGATTCCATTTCGAGTCGTAGGAGCGCTTCGATGCGCACTCAGCCCATGCAGTGATATTAGGGGAAGCAGAAGATGCTCACAAACGAGCTTGGCACCAATCACCCTGTCAGAAAGAAAAGGAACAAAGGTTCTGTTGAGCTAAGAGAATGTCGACCTTGGATTTGATCCCGCGACCGTTCGTATGGTAACACCATTGCTTTCTCTTTACCATTGTGACGATACAGCATGTCCTCTTAGGTTACGAGGTTACTTCACACCTACTTGCACTGGTTACGCAAGCCTTTCATAGAGAACCTTTCGATTCTTCCTATCTCGAATGGGGTTGTTAAGGGAAGAGCAGGAAAGGCGGTGCTCCCATATTTGGCAATCAGCGGCGCTTCCTTCTAGACAGGCGCGACAGCTAGCTGCTGTAAGCCGATCACCGGACTTATCGTTGAATGCAAACAGTACATCGTAATAACCGGTGGCGTTTTGGTATTTGAAGTGCTCTGGGACGCGCGATATGTCCAGTCGGAGGATACGTCCAAGAGATACGTTGAGGGGCCAGTCGCTAAAGCAACGAGACAGTACACCGGGGCGGAACCGGGTTACGGGTGGGGGCCGCGCGTGCATTGCGGTAAGCTAGCCAAACATAGCTTTGGCTTCACTCCCCCGCCTCTTAGCGTACACACTCTAATGAGCAACTGACGAATCTCAGTAAGAACCATCATCTTCTACATTCTCTGTTTCATCATTCTCTCTACAGACTGGATATTTCTTTGAGTTTCATCCCCACCTAGTTCGGTTCTGAGCAATAACTATTCATGTGAGAAAATCTTTTCAGGAACATGAGGCAAATCGCCTATTCCCTTCTGGCTCTTTTGCCTATAGCCTGTTTTCTCGTATTCGCCAAAAATCCAGAAGAAGCTGCCGAAGGTATCCTCTTTGAATTTTTGTCATGAACTCATTTCCGGTCAGGGTTCTTGGCCATTCGGTTTTCAAATTCTTACTCGAGTGTTTTTTTACTTAAAGAGTTGGTTAATCTCCGAGTTGGTCGCTGTTTTCATCGTAATTTATCGTATAAGCTAAGGATTACAAGTAAATGGGAGGGTAGGCTGATTGCTAGGTCAAGAATCTTTTGGACAGCTCCTTCCCACAAGATTGGTTTCCACTTCCTTCATGAAAGTTGTGGGATGTACTGGAAGACTACTTACGATGAACCGGTTTCCTCTGAGTTCATGAGCTCTTAGACTACTTTCCAATATCAGGGCGAAGTAATACTGTATTGTATTCGGCTACTGTACTTGCAGGCTTGAAACTTCACGACGACGTTTCGGATCATCAGCACGACGACTCAAACCTTACCATCTCACGAACGAAACGTCAATTCCGATGCCCAGCTAATTGCTTCTCCAGCTGTTCGAACAACTACCAGTGCCAAGCGATGCCAGTACAGTCAATCTGTGTCCAAGGATGCTGCTGCCCCTCAAGCAGTGTCAACCTCGAAAGTATGCACAAAAGAGCCTATCTACGTTTTCTTTTACAAATGTCTACATCTAGAGCTAGCAGCTGAATTTATGCAACAGTTCCATCATTTTATTCGCCATCCGGGCGGTCGTGGGTGTTCAATCCAACGCGGTACTTAAAACGTCCAAAACTAGAATGGGTGGTCTGTTTGGGATGCGCCAGTGTTTCTTTTTCTACTTGAAATCAAATCTCGATGGAATGCCCCGTAGATCTTTGAAGTCAGTCACCTACTTAATCTGAAAGCCGAAGATGTAGGTAGAAAAGCAAACGAATCCATCCAATTGGGACGGAGATCCGATACGGGGCGAGGAAAAAGTCCGGCTGGGGGGTTGCCCTCATTATCCGAACGACTGACCATTCGGATGTTTTTGAATGCACTTCGTTAACGGCGATGAAATTCGGGGGTAAACTGATGATGATCAGTCGATAAGCGCTTTTCAAATTCTCTTCATTCGAACATGGTAGTTCGGTCTCTCTGCTCTATTTGCCCGAACAACGAGAGCCGTTGAGATGTTTACCTGAGCTAAGCACCGGCGCACGAGCGACGAGTGCTCCTGACCATCGCCACAATCCATCCCGTACATGAAACAATGTTTGACAAAACATCTGATGACAACCCTTGAGAACATATTTTCGAAGCCTTTGTTTGGAAGAAGACTAAAAAAAGATTCGCCTAGGTGCAGCGCCTCCTAAATCCTGTCTCTATGCTATACGTGAGGTACTGCTCTTTGATGAGGGACTCGTAATATCATAAAATTGTTAAAGACGAAGTCTGAACAATGTTTGTTCCAATTATCTCAGGGAACAGTTTGATCTGTGGCTGCGATGGCTCCGCTTTGAGTTTTCTTAGATTCTCAGCTGAGATGGACTTGTTTATTTGGCGAGATTGCTCCAGTGAGGGATTCTTTTTAGCACCGCCGGCGACAACCTTTTTTGGTGTTTCGTTGCAAAGGTATAAAAGCAGGGAGGAGGGGTGTATAGCAATACGCCCCGAAAGCCTTTGACTTCAGAAGGTATAACTCTAGCCATTAGAACAGAAAGGTAGAATAGTGGACTGAGTTTTTGAAAAGGGAAAAAAGAGACGAGAAGAAGGGAAGTGGTTTAGTTGTTCGGCGTGAACGATTCTCCATCTCATGTCCTCGAAATGATCGGACCTTCCCCAGTTGATGGCCAATTCTAGTGAAACCAGCAACGAAATAGGTCTAATCCACGGTGTTCCGGGCTTTTCAACATCATGGTCTCCCTAGGACTATAAACTACATAAGCTGACATGATATTTATTCTATATTTGGTGTTCGCAGCCCCTTCCGTACCGCGACAGAAGGGACGTGGGTGTAATGGTCATTCGGAACACGGATTGGAACCTCCTCCAGTCCATATGAGCAGCTCATAGCGTCTGAGCGCGAATATTCAGTGGTAACGATCGAGAATAGGTTCTCCTCAGTGAATACTGTCGGTCCGAGCTTCTGTGTGCTATGCTCATCCCTGAACAAGCCATATAATCATACAAGTACTTCTGGGACGAGGGTAATGAATTCACTTTGTAGCACACTACTAATACTATCATACTATCGTACTTTTGTGACGCAAGATAATATCTTTCCCATTTGACTTTAAATTGGGTGGGAGCCGTGTGTGGGTGTGGAGGTGGTTTGGTAGCAAGTGGCGCACTATCACACCCATATGGTCGCATGTTCAAATCCCAGATCGATATCCTTCAGGGCCTACCGAGCTTTCCATCCAGTCCGGTTCATTCAGTTGGTTCCAGATTTGTGTGGGAGGACAAAAGCACTGACTTGTACATCGGCTGGCCACCGCAAGTCATTGTATAGGCCACATACGCATTCAATACCCCACTGCAATTCTGAATAGAAGTCTTATGTGGGAGCGCATCCCTCAGACGGGATTGATAAATGAACGAATAAATGACCTTGAATTATCTGGATTTGATTCAATCATAGACCGAAAATGAGAGGAGTCAAATAGGATTTTCAATTACTTTCTTTTAGCGGCATGTTCCGGAGGTCCGGCTGTAGCCGCGTGCCTGGGTGGACTTTGCGGACAAGGATTCTTCTGTACAACTAACAACTTTTGCTGCCGTTGCCAATCTGGGAACACGACAGGTACGAGATATAGATTCCATTCTCATCAGATAAAAAAGTCCTTGAACTCCCCTTTTTCTTTGCAGGACCATGTGTAAATCAGCAATGTCCAGTTGGCTACATGTGCAACACCAATAACTACTGCTGCCCTCTCGGATCTGGTGGAGTCCTAGGTCAGTTGCTAGATTCAGAACTGCAGCACCCGGATGCTTTCCATTCATTTCCTGAGATTTTGCGGAGGCCCAGACTCACTTGTGCATTTCAGGACCATGTGTGAATGGAGCCTGTCCGACGGGATACACCTGTGGTGCTGGAAACCTTTGCTATCTGACGGCAGGAAAGTAGCGACTGAAATATGCGGATTTTTTTTTT